TACCCAGCAGTTTTAAAGTAAGGTGCTATTCAGTTCCTATTTTTTTATTCCCACCCCCCTCCAACTTGGTTCTACCTACTGTTGATTTCTAATTTTATAGTGCTGTGATGTGAGAAGATGCTTTGTAATATTTCAGTATTATTTAACTTATTGAGGCTTCCTATGTGCCCTGGAGGAGCACTAGTGACACAGTGGTTACACATTGGGCTGCAAGGTCAGCAGTTTGAAACCCTGGCTGCACTGTGGGAAGAAGACAGGGTTTTCTAATCCTATAAACAGTTACAATCTTGAGAACTCCTGGGGCAGAATTATCCTGTCCTATAGGGTTGTTGTGAGTTATCGACATGATGCAATGAATTTGGAGGTTGGGTTCCTATCTATCTTACATATGGCCTAGTATGGATAATATTCCATGTGTACTTGAAGCAAAGGCATATTTCGTTGGGTGGAGTGCTATGAAATCAATGAGGATGACTATACTGTATAGTTCTTCTTTGACCTTTGTTAGTTTTCTTTCTAGTTGTTTTATTCTTCATGGAAAGTAGTGTATTAAAGTCTCCATTATTATTACAGTCTACTTATCTTGTTAAGTCTGTATTCATTTGATTTACACATTTTGAAGATTTCTGACTGAGTAAATATATATTTACCATGGTCAAGTCCTCTTGCTCAATTGACCCTGAGATCAGTATACAATGTTTTTCTTTGTCTCTTTTGCTACATTTTGCCTCAAAGTCTATTTTATCACAAATTAACACTGCCACTCCTGATCTGTTTTGGATCTGTTTACATTACTTTGTTGGTTTTGTGGGGGGGGGGTTTGTTTTGTGTTTTCACCATCTTTGACTATTAGACATAGTCTAAGACATGCTTCATAAGTAGCATTTTTATGGGCCCTGTTTACTTCTCCAGTGTGCCAGTCTCTGTCTCTTTACTGGTGCATATAAGCTGTTTGCACTACTGTACTTATTCTTGCTGTCATTCGCTGTGACGGGTCTTTTGGACATATACTTTTTGTGCCAATTTTGTTTATTGGTTTTCTTGTCATTTCCTTTTCTGATGAGGTATACTCATTTTCTTTGAGGTTATTCTGTAATGTATTAATTTCTTCCCAAGTTAAAAAGTCCATGTCTTGAAATCTACTTGATGTCTTCTCTATCCGGAAGTACATACCTTAATTAGAATTTCCCTCTATTTATGGTATAATCATCTTTGTTGCATACTGTTTTCTCTGATTTAGAATTTTCTGACTTGCAGGTTTGTTTTACTTTGCATTGACATCTATATATCTGGGTTGACATATGGATGGTCATGTATGTTAATCCCAGGTTGCTGTCTACTATTGATAGTTCTCTGTCCAAAGAACTCCCTTGGTATTTTTTGCACAGTTGGTGTGGTTTTTATAAATTTCTTCAATTTGTTTACCTGGAAAAGCTGGGCAATGACTGGCATTTTTTTCTTTATGCTTTTTTCTATTATATTAAACAAAGTTTAATATAATAGTTGTCCTTTTGTGATTGGCAAATTGGAAAGGTGTGCAACAGGATTGTATCCTCTCACTATACTTCAATCTGTTTGCTGAGCAAATCATCAGAGAAGCTGGATTATATGAAGAAGAATGTAGCATCTGGATTGGAGGAAGCCTTATTAACAACCTGTAATATACAAACGACACAACCTTGCTTGCTGAAAGTGAGGAGGACTTGAAGCACTTGCTGATGAAATCAAGGATTGCAGCCCTCAGTATGGATTACAACTCAATGGAAAGAAAACCAAAGTCCTCACAACTGGACCCATAGGTAACATCATGATAAACAGAGAAAAGATTGAAGTTTAAGGATTTTGTCTTGCTTGGATCCACAATCCATACTCATGGAAGCAGAAGTCAAGAGCTCAAATAATGCACTGCATTAGGTAAATCTGCTGCACAAGACCTCTTTGAAGTGTTGAAAAGCAAGGATGTTACTTTGAGAACTAAGGTGTGCTTGACCTAAGCCATGGTATTTTCAATCACCTCATAAGCCTGTGAAAAGTGGACACTGACTATGGAAGATCAGAGAAGAATCAATGCTTTTGAGTTAAAGTGCTGGCACAGAATATTGAAGGTACCACGGACTGGTAAAAGAATAGACAAATCTACTTAAAAGTACAGCCAGAACGCTCTTTAGAAACAAGGATGGCAAAAAGTCATCTCATGTACTTCAGACATGGTGTCAGGAGACTGGTCCCTAGAAAAACACATCACACTTGGTAAAGTAGGAGGGCAGCACAAAAGAGGAAGACATTCTGCATCAATGAGATCAATCCTAAGAGCAATTGTAAAGACGGCACAGGACTGGGCAGTGTTTCCTTCTGCTGTACACAGGGTCATGAATGACACTGACTCGACAGCAACTAACAACAACAATGCTGGCGGGCATTGAAGTTGCTTCGATTTTGAACAGTGATGCAATGAACATGGCTGTGTGTATGCCTGTTCATGTGACCACCCTCACTTCTTTGCTGGATTACATGGGATTACGAGTTCAAATTGTTTGAGGTAGTGACATACCACCTTCCAAAGTGGTTGTATATATTTAGTCTCACCAACAGTTTATGAGGTTCCAATCCAGGAGAACTTAGTTTTATTGAAACGCCTGTGTAGATGATTTGTTTTTCCAGAGCTGCTCTTAGGATTCTTTCCTTGCCTTTGTGTTTGGAAAGTTTGAATGTGATATGTTGTGATTTTCTTTTGGTGTGTATTTTGCGTAGGGTTGGCTCAGTTTCTTGAATGCATATCTTCTCATCTTTCTTGATTTCGGGAAGTTTCTTTCCAGTGGCTATTTTTCCTTTGTGCTTTTTTATTTTTCTTCCAATTCTGGAATTCTGATCTCAAATACATTATTCCTTTGATGGCATCCCCTATGTATTTTTTAGGGTTTCTTTGGATTTTTTTCTGAAAACTTATTGCTCTTCTAACAGATTACTACTGAGAGAATTATTCGCAATTTTGGCCTTTCATTGGTTTAATTTAACTCTTTCTCTCTTTGAAAGCACTATTTATTTTTGAAATTATATAATAGAAATCTTCTGGGCATCCATTTGCTGGTTTTGTGCCATTAAAATTTTCATTTAATTTGTCAATTGTGCTTAAAATGTTTTCTTGAATCCTTCTGAAATTGCTGGGTTTTTTTCTTAGTGTTTTCTTTTATATAGTCTCTATATGTCTTGATTTTTCTCTCACTCTGTCAAAGGAGTCTAATTACTTTTTTCAGTTCTGTATTAGGCAGTTTCAGTGTCACAATTCTTTTGTCCTTATTCCACAGGATATATCTTGACCTTTTTTCCTATTTATGAGATTCTCCTTTACCAATAACAATAGCTTCGAGGCATACATGATTTTGAAATAGATTTTAGTGTTGGTTTAATGTAAATGCTTCATTTTACTTATATTACATTATCTGATCATGGCAGTGTAGCCTGTCACAATTGATAATTCACCCTTGTGTTTTGATTTGTATATGCAATTTTCTAAAAATTTACAACTATGTTTTAAAAAGCAGAGTTAAGATATTGATAATTCTGGGGGTGAAGGTGTGTACATACCTTCAATTAAGTAACTACAAACTGAAAGCCCACTAAGGTGAAACCAATATTTACAAATAATTCTGGATTATGTAGCTTCATCCTTTCCCATATTAAAATATAAATGATTTTTGAAATGTTGAATACATCTAACCAGAACGTTTTCTAACATTCTTAAAATTATGCAATAATAACAAAAAACCCTTATTTCTTTCTCATTGCTTTCAATCAGGTTGAGCTTTTTAAAAAGACATATTTATCTGTTAGTTCATAAGAATCTAAGAAAGAAACTTACCATGCCTGAGAGCCAATACCATACCATGCTAACTGGAACATTTGGAAGCCCAAGCCAAGGAGGACAGTATTCTTATTCCCCAATGATCTCATCAAGATGCCAAGAAATACTGTCTGCAAAGTTAAAGGAGAGAATCTTGAAAAAGCACATAAATACAGAATTTGAAAGTAAGTTCTGTGAGTGAGTGAGTGAGTGAGTGAGCGAGTACCACTCATCAATCACCAAGACTTTTAAAGGCATGTTCTATGGTCTTTAGTCTTGTAGGCTAGACAGTACTGATTCAATTCTACAGGGATGGCGCTTTACAAAGACCTCAGAGCCTTCTGCTGTCTCCTGCCTACTTAGTGCTTTTCTGGTACTTCCCAAAAGTGTACTGGACTAATTTTACCTCTTGCTAATAGGTGTTCACCCCTAACCAATATTGGGAAAGAGACAGCTCCAGTCATTTTGGAGAACTACTAATCATTCAACTACTAGTGAATGGGACGACTGTGCTAACAGACTAATTTAATACAACAACAATATGAAAATCCTGACGATAATAATTTATATTTGCTAATTGTAATTCAACAAAAATAATAAAATAAAGAGTCATTGCCTATATGTGTTCCCATAAGCCTTATTAATTTCTATATTCGAGGTAAGCACTTTGCAAACTTCTCATCTTACCTAGAGAGTTAACATAGCAAAGTGCAGTGTTCACTCTACCATGCTACTGCATGGAAACAGTATAAGTCTATTCCAAATAATAGCGTAAATGCATTTAAGCACAAAAACGAATTAGCAAGTTAGATGCCTTCTGTTTTGTTCTTCAGATTTATAACACATGAGGAAAATTTCTTCCTTCCTGGAAACAGCAAAGGTTGAGCAAGTTATGCATTTCCATTTCTAATTCTACTTCTACTTATTTTCTAATATTAAAAAATTACTGAAATAGTCAAGTTAATTTTGTCATATCCAAATTTAGAATATAATTTATAATTTTGCTTGATATAAAAGTAAACAAAATAATTAGCATAACAGAAGTTAAAAGTACTCTGAAAACTTTTAAATGGATGTATTAAATATATCTTAAGTAAGAACTTACATATTACATTAGAAATTATATGCTTCTGTGAACACAGGCATGCTTTTGTGGACTGCATCAATGTGCCCTTGTACTAAACGCGCTGTATAAGATGTTACCATGGGATGTGAAGGTGTATCCAGGTGAAGAGTGCATGGGTCCTCCCTGTGTAATTCTTTGTGGCTTCCTATGCATTTATGGTAATTTCAGGATAAAGTTACGGGGAAAAAAAAACACTAGTATATGTAAGATGACACTTACCTGAGCCACAATTGACAGAATCCCTACCATAGCTATGAACGCTGCAATTTTAATAGACCCAAAACCGATGACCTGTGGAATAGGAAGAAATCACCTTAGTAATATAGTAGTGTAAACACTGTAAAAATAATAAGAAATGTTATAGTCTATTAAAGTCATAAGGAAAAAAAAAGTTGTGAAAAGCCCATAAAAGCTTGAAAGAAGCAGATTAAGGCAAGTCTGAAAAGTGGAACTTAATTAACCAGAAATTTATATATAAGTTTGACACAGTAAAACCTGAGAAATCCACAGGGTGTCTAAGGCAGAAATCTGTGAGAAGTTAAACTAAAAATAGTTTCCGCTGAAATGAGAGGGAATTGAAATAAAACCGCATGCTAGGCTGAAAGTGGAAACCCAAGAAACCCAGGACAACAAGGTGGTTATGGCAAGTTCCAGCTCTCATTGTATTACGAAGCTGTTGTCAGCCAACACAAATTTAATTAGGAAAGATATTTTCAGAAGTTATTTTCTATTAAACTCTATTTAATAGAGATTCCAAGTCTCCCTATCCCCAGCCCACCAACGGGCATAAATAATAGACATCAAGCATTGGGGAGAACATAAAAGAAAATGATGTGGCTTCTGATGCTGTGCATATCGCAGTCTCTTTTGGTGAAGCCAACGGCTTTCCACGTGTGCTGACATTACAACTGTGTGGAGAACAGGGCAACGGGAAGTTAGGATAGCATTGGGACAGTAAGATACCAGAACCCACTCCATACCAGTTAAACCACATTGGGCATAGAGGGCTATGGCCCAGGCAAAAGTTATGTTTTATTTTATTATTTTTTTCTTTCTTTGCAAAATTACGTTTTAAAAATCACCCATGATAATTCTTGTGAGTAATTATCTGGTGGTGATTTCTAAGTCTTTTAATCTTAGCAGCAGCTATAAAATGCCAACGAATTTTAAACAAAGTGAAGATTTTGTTGTTTTGTTTTTTTGAAGTTTCATTCATTTTTTAATTGTCTTGTGTCAAGTCACTCAACGAACTAGAGAGAGAGATAACTCTGGCTTCCATTCCAGTGCTATTATAATTAATATTGTATTATCCTCTAGTCAAACGTAATTTTAAAACAATTAGAATATGAAAATTTGGTTGCCTTATTAAGAATTGATTATTCCTCTGGATATATTTGTAAATCTGTATATAAATTAAAGTTATATTTAGAGATCGTTTAAATACCATACAAATTCATCCATTGTGTATCTACTGAGACCCCAACTAGACACCAGACACAAGGAGAGTTAGTTTTCACACGCTAATTTAAATCTTCACAAAAACTCTGGTTATGGGCATAGAATTGGGGAATCATTACCACAACCTATTTTAGAATACTTCATCACCCAGAATAAAACAGTAATCATTAATAGTTCCATTTCCTCAGCCCCTAACAACCAGTAACTCGCTTTCTGTCCTTATACATTTATCTAGTAGGGACACTTCATATAAATGCAATAATAACATGTGGTCCTTTGTGACTAGTTTCTTTCCCTGAGCACGTTTTCAAGAGTCATCCATGTTTCTGCAAGTATTGGTACTTCATTCTTTTTTACTACTGAAAAGTATTTAGAATATGGAGATACCTGATTTGTTTCTCTAGTCACCAGTTGATAAATATTTGCGTTGTTTCTGTTTCTGGCTATTAGGAATAATGCCGCCATGAATATGTGTGCACAAATCTTGGTACAAACATGTGTCTTGATTTCTCTTGGGTATACCTAGAAGTAGAACTGCTGGGCCATACTGTCTCTGGTGAATGCTTTAAGGAATTGCCAGGCTGTTTCCAAAACCATCTTCACAGTTACATATTCCCACTAGTAATCTCTGAGGGTTCCAGTTTTTCCAATTTAAATGTTATGAGTTAACTGACTATATATGTCAGCATGTGCATTTGTAACTAGAAGCAAGTTCACATGTTTTTCTTATATTATTTTTCCAAAACTGTCTTTGGATATACCTACCTGCCTCAGATAGAGAAAAAAACTTGAATACTGTCCAGCTTCAGGAAGGTATGAAAGAAACACAGTGATGCAAATTAGTAAAACGGTGGAATCCTTTCCAACTTTCTTCAATGACTGACAAAAAAAAAAGAGAAACACTTTTGAAAAGGACATACATACTAATGCTGCTGTCATCCAGGGATATTGACTTCACTGCTCAGATCTAAAAAGGTGAATAACAAAAACTGACTAAATTTAAAAAGGAAATGAACCTTAACTTTTAACCCTTGCCGTCTGTCTCTATGGAAGTTGCACATCCCAATTTCACTTCATTGCAGACACATAGCAACTACTTGTCTGTCAGTTTGTTGTACTGTGGTGGGTTGTGTGCTGCTGTAATGCTGGAAGCTATGTCACTGGTATTTCAAATGCCAGCAGGCTCACCCAAATGACACAGGTTTCACTAGAACTTCTAGACTACAAATAGAATACAAATAAAAAATTAGCTACTCACTTCGGAAGAAGTAGCTACTGAAAATTTTATGTAGAGCATTGAAACATTGTCCAATAATTAGTGGGGGTAGAATTTTTTCTGATGTAGTGCCAGAAAATGGGCCCCTCGGGTCAGAAGACCCACCCTTGAAATGTGACTGAGGACCAGCTGCCTCCTCAAAGAAGAATGGAGTAAATCATGTGGGAATAAAGCCTTCGGGACCTGTATTTGATGATGGGGCACAGTTCAAAGTAAGAAGAAACAACTGAAAAAATCTATGAATAATCAGAACTTGGAATGTATGAAATGTGAATCTAGGAAAATTTAAAGTGGCAAAAATTAAAATGGAATGCTTAATGATTGACAAACTAGGCATTAGTTAGCTGAAATGGTCTGATATTGGCCATTTTTAATCAGAAAATCATATGGTTTACTATGCCAGGAATGATATAATCAAGAGGAAGGGTGTTGCATTCATTGTCAAAAACAGGTACAGCAAGATCTACCTTGAAGTACAATACTATCTGTATTCACGGAAATCCAATCAATAAATTATTATTCAAATTTATGCATCACTACCAAACTATTATTCAAATTTATAATCACTACCAAAGCTAGTGATCAAGAAATCAAAGAATTCTACCAACATATTCAGTCTGAAATTTATCAATGAAACTAAGATGCACTGATAATGATTGGTGATTGGAATGTAAAAGTTGGAAACAAGGAGGAAGGGACAGTAGTTGGAAAATATAATCTTGTAGATGGAAATGAAGCTAGATATTACATGATAGATTTTTGTAAGACCAACAACTTGTTCATAGCACATATCTTTTTTCAACAAAATAAAAAGCATCTATGCACATGTACTTCTCCAGATGGAATCCACAGTAATCAAATTAACTATATGGGTGGGAAGAGATGATGGAGAAGCTCAAACCTGGCGGGACTAAGTGTGGAACAGACCATGAATTGCTCATATGTAAGTTCAAGTTAAAGCTGAAGAAAGTTAAATCAAGTCCACAGGAGTCAAAACACATTCTTGAATATATCCCACCTGAATTTTTAGAACATACCAAAAACAGGTTTGACATACTGAACATGAATGACAGAAAACCTAATGAGCTGTGGGATAACATCAAGAATTTCATATAAAAGTAAGTAATAGACCATTAAAAAGACACGAAAGAAAACGATCTAAAATGGATGTCAGAAAAGACTCTGAAATGTGCTCTGAATCAAAGCAGCTAAGGCAAATGAAGAAATGATGAAGTAAGAGATGAACAGAAAAACTTCAAAAGGCAGATTGAGAAGTAAAAATATAAAGAAATGTACAAAAACTAAGTTAGAAAAGCAAAAAGAGCACGTCTCAAACTGAAAAAACTAAAGAAAATGTTCAAGCCCCAAGTTGTACTACTAAAGATTAAATAGACAAAATACTGAATGATGCAGTAAGCATTAAAAGAAGATGACAAGAATGCAAAGAGTGACGGTACCAAAATAACCAGTCAATACTCAATCATTTCAGGAGGCAGCACATGAGCAAGAACCAGTGGTACTGAAGATACATGTCCAACCTGCACTGAAAACAATAGCTAAAAAGAAAGCACCAGAAAGTGATGGAATACCAATTGAAATGTTCAAATAACGTGATGACACATTGGAAGCATTCATTTGTCTGTGACAGGAAATTTGAAGAGATACATATTTATACCTGTCCCAAAGAAAGGTGATTCAACAGGATGCTCAAATTACACAACAATATCACTGGTATCACATGCAAGCAAAATTCTGCTGAAGATCAACCAACAACGGATGTAGCAGTACATCGACAGGGAGCTGCCACAGGTTCAGACTGGATTCAGAAGAGAGGCAATTGTACAAACAGAACAGGAGAATGCTGAATGGTTTAACATCAGGAAAGTTGTGTGATAGGGTTGTATCCTCTCACAATACTTATCCAATCCATATGCTGAGCAAATGATCAGAGAAGTTGGATTGTATGAAGAAGAATGTGATCTCAGGGTTGGAGGAAGGCTTATTAACAACTTGGGATACACAGATGGGACAACCTTGCTTGCTGAGAGTGAGGAGGAATTGAAGGCCTTGCTGGTGAAGATTAAGGATTGTGGCCCTCAGTATGGATTACAATCAAGGTAAGGAAGACCTGCAGCGGTGTGCTTCATGGCAGCCAGTGGACGGACAATTTGCAGTTCTGCTACTCTGTGTGAGCTCTGCCTTTATTTTTCTTAGTCGGTGTGCCTTTCACTTAGCATTTTTTTCTTCAGAGATTCAGTTCTGGGTTTTTCCTCCATATTTATTTTCTTGTTTTCAGGGTTTGTCTAATGTGTCTATCTAGTCTGCCATCTTGCTGGATTTCCACTTTATTCTTTTAAACAATAAATATGCTCCAGCCAAGGAGTCAGTGGTACCCAGAGTCAGTTTTTGGCCAGTAAAACAATCTTTTGAATGCTATAACCTAACCCTGTCAAAAATTCTTTGATTTCTTTTCACACAGAATAGTTGAAGATCTGGGGGGAGCGGGGAGGGAAGGGAAAAATGAGGACCTAATGCCGGGGGTTTAAGTGGAGAGAAAATGTTTTAAGAATGATGAGGGCAATGAATGTACAAATGCGCTTTACACAATTGATGTGTGTATGGATTGTGATAAGAGTTGTATGAGCCCCTAATAAAATGATTTAAAAAAATAGTTGAAGATCTAAGGATTGGAGAGTTCTGCAGTGTTTCAGGTTTTCATACTGCATCTTTCTATTATTAACCGTCAAAGTACTAATATCTATTGACATCCTACTACATTCTGGATCCCAGACTGGGTCACTTACACACATTAACTGAAATCTTCATAAAAGTCCTGAGAAGAAAGCCACAGCATTTCTATTTTATAGAAGAGCTTCGGTGTTTAATGCAGTCACAACATGACAAGAAAGAGGGCTGCCTGCTTGGAGTTCAAGGCACTCCTCAGCTTCCCTGTGCAAATCTACCTTTGGCTGCCTGACACGGTGGCATCAACAAAGCAGGAAGGGATGATCCCCAGCCATACCCTAAGAGGATTTTATAGAAACATTTTTTCTAATGATATTAGTTCCCTTATTACATGTATTTTTCATAAAAGGTGAACTTACAGACTGAAAAGTAAAAATAAAATCTGCTTTTTCCTATACATAGTCAAGAACAATTTAAAAGCAGGGAAAGTTAGGAGTGGTCTTAATAAGAAGTATTTTTCCTAATTGTATGTGTGACATTCATGTTCCCTCATACAACGATGATTATAAAAAATAAATAATCCCTTTAATATGCAAAACACAAGTTCAAAGCATCTGATCTAAGTGGATATATACTAAAATTTAGTTAAGTACTTTAACCAAACTGAAAACGTGACTTTTTGAAATAAAAAAATGAAAATTGTTTTAAATATTTGCTATTTTGTCAACAACAGATGAAAACCACGGTACAAAAAGAAAGAAGCTCCTTCCTTAAATCCTCCACCAAGAATGGCTAACTACTTTTCTCCCTAAGTTAGCATACTTCACCAAGAAGTACCAAGTCTATATAATTTCTTGGTGCCCAGACATCCTCAATTGCCTTCTTTTTCTATTTCTACTAGAATAAGAAACAAATCCTTGAGGCTACAGAGATGTTCTTTTATTTGCAGGGCTTCGGAAATCTTTAAGAAAGTGTGTTTTTACTTACCGCAAAAGGGTCTGCTTGTTTCCATGAAATCTTAGTTCCCCAGGAAACAGGTCTTATTTTTTCTGGCAGAGATTCGGGAACAGCCAATAAGATGAAGCAAATGTCCAAAAGAGCTACCACCGTGGCCACCAGCACAACAAGGCTGTCTCCGTAATTGGCAGAGATATATGCTCCAATGGCTGGGCTACTGACCAGACTGGCTGCAAAGGTGGCCGAGACCTGCAGGGAAAGCACACTCTTACCCAGGGTGCCTCAAAGGTGTGGCTCCTGGGTGTCCTTCCAGACAAACACAACCTGTTACACCTATTTTTAAATGACAAAAAGTTTAAGTAACTTTGTTTTACATTTTTGTTTACAAGCTATTAACTTGTGGCCTGGGGAGCTACAAGGGCATAAACTAATCATCTTATTAGAAAGGAAAAATGTGAAAACCTTCTCCATAAATATTGAATCCTTGGTCTTCTTAAATTGAGGAAATGGGGAATGAGGGTAGGGATATGAAAAAAATCCAGTGGGTTGATGGTAAAAATGCCCAAATCTCAGGGGCTATGCTTAATATTTAACTTAATCTTCCTAAAACAGTATATGGTTGCACCATTATACTAGCCAGCACCTAGCACTGAGGGGCAGTGGGGGGACCTAGCCAGAGAAAGAGGTTAAAAAAAAGCCCTCCAACAAACACAACAAAAGTATTTGAGGAAGAAGAGATGGAAGCTTTTTAATTAAAACAGTCCCTGGGCTGTAGGCCTGTCAACCGTCACCCCATCTAGTACCAGAGATCACAGAGCCAGTTACTATGTCTGCATCCTTAAGCAATAATGAGTCCTTAACGCATTATTCTTATAAGCAGGTAGAATGCCCACTTTAGTTTAGAATATAATTGGAAACATTCAAAAGCAAAAATGAGCAATCTCCAGTATACAAGCAGATTGAGCACCAAAAGCAGATCTTTAAATTGGTTATTTAAACTTCTAAGATATTTTAATATAAATTATAAAATTCATTAAGATTATAATTATGACTACTGGTAAATCATTGACATTATTCACCCATCACAAACACTACTAAAATACAATGTAAGTGATGAGTTATTCTTGTTAGTTGCCATCATGTAGATTCCAATTTATAGTCACCCATGTGTGCAGAGGCTGTGACCTTTCAGAAGTAGACAGTCACGCCCCTCTCCCAAGGAATGCTGTTATAGTAAAGATTATATCACAAATTAATTATTATATTAAAATACCATAAAAGTTAATAACCGAATGGAAGCATTTCTGGGGGAAGCGAGGGTCCAATGTATAGTATAAAAGTCCTTCATTAAATACATATTTTATACATGATATGTGTTGCATAAATGAGAAGAACAATCACCTGCTTTTAAGAGTTTTCCTAGAAGACCAAGGCAAGTGTGTAACTGTGTTAGGACATAAAATCACTGTTCTAAGGCCCCCGAGTGCCAGACATCACTGCTGCAGTGTTCTCAGGTGCTATGGGATCATCGCTTCAAGGTTCCTGGATGCTTTGGGAGCACTGCTGCAGCTTCCTTAGATTCTATGACAGCATTGCAGCTGGGTCCTCAGGTGTGGGATTCACTCAAAATCAGAATTACATAGTTCTAGAATAGCATGAAAAACCTGACATCGGCAAACAATGGCTCAATCATTGCTCATTTTTTCATAAGGGCATTCTATTACCTAATTATAGCATTCTCATATATAAACTGAAAAGGTACTCTACTACTCAATTTACAAGCAAAAAATGGCAACAGAAAATCTAATAACTATCCTTACCTTACATGCGTCAACAAAATTTAAAAGGCATGTCTCAATCTTGAGTAATTTTTCCTGCCATCATAACTGCTGTCTTACACACGAAGAACAGAACTACAAAAAAAGCAACTCAGTCATAGTAACTTCTAGTTCCAGAGCTGTCTCCCTGAATCTCTGAAATCACATTACCATTATTCTACTGCTCTACACAACAATTGTTGTGAATGTTCTTCTAACTAGAACCAAGAAACAAAAATCTTACAAAATTGATGGAGGCAAATATCTAAACTAGCATTTTGAAATGTAGAGACACGCTGCACATGTGTTCGATCAATGTGACTGTTCTACCCTTGATTCTGCTTCCAACACCTACGCATCAAACTTGAGTATCTTGTGTTCTGATGCCGGCTATCAGGGGTCCTGGCACACTGTAGGTAAGGCACAGTGCTGCCAACCACATGGTCAGCGGTTGAAAGCCAGCAGCCACTCTGTGGAAGAACAGAAAGCTGTCTGTTCCCTTAAAGATGTACAGTCTCAAAACTCTGCACAGAGTTACTCTGAATAGGAATTCACTCAATGGCAATGGGTTTGTTCCTTTGTTTTCTGCCAGCCTGGGCTATTTCTTTTTCTCTCCTCCTCACCTGCACTCTGGTGATTCCACTGTTCTAGGACTTGGTACGAAAGACATTCCAGGAAGGAGGGAAAAAGAAAGGGAGAGCAGGTAGAAGGAAAATAAGGAAGTTGAAAGCAAGTTCCAAACTACTGATCATCTAAATTCAACAAAATAAATATTGCCATTGTGTTTTATGGCACAACAGCAATTTATTTACACGACCATCATTCTTTCATGGTCATCCATCTTTTTCAGTCGAGACTAAGGGACCATACTGTACTCCAGGCAGAGAAATTGAAAAGAAAAAAGACGGGAAAGGCAGAAGTAACAGGTTTCTGGAATTCACCACCCCCTCTAACTTATTTGTCATGATACACCTAGATGATTTATCTCCTTCTTTTTTCATTTTGAAGATTTTAAATCACATAGTAGAAAGAGTAGCCAATGCATGTTTACATGAAACAACAGGCTCACGCACTGAAGAGCGAGTCACTTATGATCACCCACATGATCGCATGCTCTCCCTCTTGCCATCTGAAAGTCACTCAAAGGGTTGTGGTAACACTGTGACATCAACTCGCCATCTTCCAATAGGACTTTCTTCTCTCACATAGCTACAATATCATGGTTACCCCTGAGAAAATTAGAAATGACTGCTTAATAGCTATTTTTACTATGACTTTTATTTATTCAATACTTACTTGCTGTAGTGCTTTTTCCACAGTACTGTGTCCTAAACTGACATCTAAGACACACCACTAGCAATATCAGTGACAATGACCTAGGTGAGGTTCTGATTCCTTTCCAAGTCAGGTGCACACAGACTTTCTGATCATAATGCGTTTTCTGTTTAGGATACTCACGTTATATCATCTAACAATTAAAGGAACAAATTAAGCCTGTATATTTGTTTCCTTTTTTAATTTTGCAACTAACTACTTAAGACGTTCCCACCAATCCTCTAATCCTAAAATCAGGTAATAAATTCCTAGAAATTTCTACTTTGTAAAGTAAATTTTTCAGAGGAATCTTGTTGTATTTCAACTACTTTGAGTTTCTTTTTATGTAAAATCAGTATTTATACTTATTTTTTAAATTTTCTGAAAATTTTCAATAGAATATTAATTCATGGTGGCTCAATTTAAAAATATATATTCTATTATCTTACCCATCCATAAGCAGTACTTCGCTCATGTTCCCGAGTGATGTCAGCTACATAAGCAAATATCACAGAAAATGTGACTGAGAAGATTCCAGACACAGAAATCATCGCAAAATACCACCTATGAAAAAAATTATTCTCATTACTCAAGAGAAATTATACATGATTTACTTAACTTTTATAAACAGAACCAAAGATACAATATAAAGTTTATATATATTTATATGTGTTGAGTGTATATACATGGAGGCTTCAAAAACTAGGTGGAAAATGGAATTAAAAGATGGTATTATTTTTCACAAATATACCATTTGCATATATTTGAAGATATAAACTCGACTCAAACTGCCAGCGAGTTAATTCTGACTCAAAGCAATCCTATAAGGCAGATTAGAACTGCCCCTCTGGGTTGCTAAAACTGTAACTCTTGGTGGGAGTAGAAAGCGCCGTTCTTGTTCCCATAGAGTGGCTGCTTTCAAACTGCTGATCTTGTGGTTAACAGCCCAATCTGTAACCCATTCCACCACCAGGCTTCTTTGAAAATAGAAAAGAATTAATAAAATCAACTAAAAACAAGACGGGGAGGGAGAAGTAGAAACACACTAATTATTCTACTGTTCATCAAAGTATGTGTAATGCATATGATTTAAAAAAGAAAGAGTAAGGACTAAAGTCGTAGTTTTAAAGGGGGGGGGGGCGCTGCAAATTTCTTAGTACAACTAGGAAAAATACATATAAAAAGGCTGCATAAAAACAAAGTATAAGAAACATATTAAAATAATTGAGAGCAAAAATATTGCCATATACATAGATGCTAAAAGAAAACCCTCTGGAGAAAAATAATTTCCATTGATGCAAAAATGGCATATGTGATAAACAACCAATCTTGATTTTACAAAAGAAAAATAAAAAAGGAATGAATTATTTATTAACCCAAAGCTATCCTAATGCTCAATGATGAAATATGATAACACTGTCTTTAAATACACGCAGAAATGAACCCACAATCATCACTTTTATTTAACATTATTCATTAATTAATACAGTTAACAAAAGCAGCAAGCTGCTTAAGACTTGGGGGGAAAGACGTAAAATTATTTACAAGTGACATTTATATACCAGAACACTAAGCAATTAGCTCAGTCCATTTTGTAGTAAACAAAGAAAACTTATAGGGTTCAAGTACAAGATACAAAGAAAAAAATAATTTTAATGATTGAAAAAACATCTTAAAATCCCTAGCTCATTTAAAAACAGGCATACTCTTAAAGAGATTCACCAGCAAAAGAGGATTTTATTAAAAACTCATCACTTGGCAGAAATTAAGACAATTTATTATGGGTATCAACACAATTAAAACTTAACAAATGTTGACCTAATCAGATAGGCAAGTGTGGGGGGAGGTCAGATGCGCAGGCATTCCCTCCCCTGAAGGCAATCAGTTGCCAGACTGCTGTCTCATCCCACCACAGGGGTGGGCCTGCTCTCTGCTTCTGGGGACAATGGACAGGCACCTGTAGGAGGAGTTCACACCCTACTGATAATGGTCTCTATCAGTTGGGCCAGGGACAGGCCAAACCGCTGTCCCTCTTCCTATTGCATGTATGCCCCTAGACCACCCCCTCATTACTGTGTAACCTATAGTGCAGCCCCTTCCTGTTTCTGCCTGTAATTAGTGGGCTGGCTTGCCCCCAAAAGGTATATAGGTGTGAGTCAGCAATATAGATCTCTCTCTGACTCTGAGCTCCTTGCTGCTCACTCCCCTCTCTCTTGTTCCCTTATCCTCCTTCCCTTCCCCCTCTCTCCACACGGTCCACCAAGCTGGGCTGAGGTGAGCAATGCTACCATGTAATATGTCTGACTGTATTATTGTATTATCTCTCATGCTCTCGATGACTTTAATATAATACTTATATATCTCAACCGTACAATTGTGCATTACTGAACCCAGAAGTAGTATTACTGAACCAGTGAGTTCAAGCAGCGGGTGGGGCTGGCACCCCACTCCCCCGTGTCACTTTTAATTTAATACTACAGGCAAGTTAGGATATTTTCACATGAAGCAAAAAAGAAAATATATTAATAGCATTTAAAACAAAAACACCCACATCAATGCTTCACATAGAAAGGACATTTTAGCAAAAGGAAACCCTGCCAAAATACCAATCTTCTGGCCTCCAGAGATAAAACTAAGTTACAATTCATTTGCAAATTCTGACCCATAGTCTATGTTTCTCTGTCTTTGGTAACTAAATAGAAATCAATTACACGTTAAATATTCTTTCCCTGTTCATCATGTTGAAGGGGGGTAAATAAAATCAAATTAAAATTCATATTATAATTTACAATAGACTATTAGTCTACTTTGTGTTAGTATAGCATACACAAAACGAACTCCTGCCTGTTGCTATATAAAGTATGTTCATAACAGTGCACCAACCCAATGAGCTGACAAAAACAATGCTTTTCAAAATCAACTGAACCACAACAGTGAGTGCAAGGTACCTTCAGTTCATTCAAGGGACTGAATTTGCATCACTGACTGTATGGCCACCAGAGCTGTCAGTAGACTATGTTATCTCTCTATTTGTTCATCTAAGCTTAATTTCATACTTCGCTTTGTAATGTCTTCTATAATTACTAAAGCCGTAAAATTAAGGCATAGGTACTACTGCTTTAAAATGGTTAAAAAGTGCTAGGCAGATACATTACTATCAAGTCACCCAAGTGGCAGAGGGTGTTGGATCTCTCACCATGGACTGATTCTCATCAGTGGGATTGGGAAGCAAGTAAAGAAGACTGTGCCGATGAGAAAGGGCTTCCTGCCCCATATGTCAGACAGGGCACCTATAAGTGGGGCGCTCAGGAAAGACAACAGACCCTACAGAAGACAAAAGAAACAAAGGTTAGATGTATCATTTGATCCCCCAATTACTTGCAATTTTCTTTTTTCAATTCTAATCCCAAAAACCATTCGCTCCAAATCATCTTGTTGGTTGTAAAACAGAAAGTAAAACACTAAATGAAAACTATTTGAAGGGCAATGAATGTACAAATGTGCTTTACACAACTGATGTATGTATGGATTGTGATAAGAGTTGTATGAGCCCCTAATAAAATGATTTTTAAAAAAACTATTTGAGACTGCAAACTAACTTTTAAAAATACTAGCTGAAAGGGGCTTCTACCCTGCCTGCTAAAGGAATAAACAAAGGACCCGCAAGAATAAGCAATGAACTCTGTGAGAAATGGCTTGGTAAACACCTTAACCTTGAAGCAGGCCCTAGTGAAAATACTGACGCAGGACTGTGCTCAAAGAGAATTCTGAGACATGCCGGCCCAGAGCCGCTGCCAGAAAAATGTGAAAGATGCGTGAGACCCACAGACAGATTGAGTAACTAATTAGAAAGTTGCTTGACCATCTGCAGAACAGTCAGCCCCTCACATTTAAAAGCACCATTTAAAAACTAGAAGCGTTCCCCTACCCAACGTCCATTCGCAACTCGCAAAGCCCCACCCCTCTGCGCTTCACTCATGGGACAAACATATTTTCTCTCTGCTTACGGTCCTCCTTCTTGCCTTTCAAGAAGGACCTGCTGCCTTTCTTTGGAAGCGTTTTTATGCTTTTATAAAACTGTGGCTTGGTTCTTTGTTGCTGCTGCTCGCTCTCTCTCTCTCTCTCTCTCTCCTCTCTCTCTGTGCATGCCTTATCTCTGGAGTCTAACAAACCATATGGGTCTGGAGCTTGCTAGTTCCCCAGGGGTGACAGCCCAGACACTGAACTTCACACTTGCAAAATTTGTAACTATGATATTAGAGTGGGAAGGGGTTTAAACACAAATCCCAAACACCTAGTTTTTTAGAAAACTGTAAAAAATATAAAATACACATACCCAAAGGTGCAGTTGGCCCTTAAGATGAATATACACCAAGCATATGGGAAGACACCAGGAACTTAATTTATTTAAACAAATATGCAAGGCATATCTAAAATGTGCAAAGTTCTAAGCTAACTAGTGTCTATAAGACATCCAAATGAATACAAAGTTCAAGGGGTCTGTATTTTAAAAGGTATCGACACAACGAGCACGTATACACGTTTAAAAGAAAAGTAGATTCTTTGTCAATCAATGTAACACGTTATATCTGCCTGATGAATTTATGATAAAGATAGTGTAACTTAAACAGAATTGAGAGTAAGAGAAGGGAGCTGAACAAATACCAAATAAATGAAAAGGAAAAAATGAGCATTTACTACGTAGCCACTGTTTGCTAGTCATTTTGTTAGCTGGCCTTTTCCATATAAATTACTCACCTCTGCTTAAAGTTCTGCAGAGCGGTCACGGATCTGCCACTTAGACCCTAGTGGAACCCAGGATCTCTCTTATCCCTTCATGTCTCATGTTCTGTCTCCATATAGAGCCACAAACCAGTTGCTAATGACAGAGAGAGACCCCATGTGTGTCAGGGAAGAACAGCGCACCAGAGGGTCCTCAACAGGAATTTTGGAAGAAGATCACCGGATCTTTCTTCTGAGACACCTCATCATCTTCAGTACTTAACAACTGCTTTCCAATCACTTGCTGGTGATCCATGCCTCGTTGAATGAGCTTTAGGATATTTCACAAGCACATAATTCCCTATGAACTTGACCATCGTGCCACATTTGCCACCTTGGATAAAAAGGCATCCAATACTTTCTCCTCTCACCATTTCACTCATCACTGGCTACTTTGCAGGCCACTCTCTCTTCTAAAACGCTCCTTCACCCTCGGCAACACTGTAGCTCAACGGTCTTCTGATTCCAGTCCTGTCTCCCTCTAATTTGCTCTCTACACTTTTGTTGTTGTTCTCTACATTTTTATCGGTGGCCATTATACTGAATAATGGGCACATACATGTCAATTATACTCTATTTTTTTGTTTGAATTTTCACATAGGGCCCACAAAAATCTAGCCTCCAAACACATTCTATGTGCTGGTTATATGCAATACTTCCGGTCTTCCATACAGACCATGTCTCTTCCTGCCAATGGGCTTTTGCATGGGCTCTTCCTATTCATGCAGACACCCCTGCATTTGAACCAAATAAGCTACTAGTCATTCCTCTTGAGGGTGAAATGCCCGAGGGTGAGAAGATGACTACTATACCCAAGTGGTGGATGTGGAAGTCACTGTACTTTGGTTCAAATTGCTATTTTCATACTTTCTCTGGGTTTTTTTTGTTTTTTGCTTTTAATGAGATGCAGGGATAGTTCAGCATGGATAGCTCTGGCTGAATGAATGAGAGAGAGTTACTGAGAATTTTATTGATTTTACCTCCAACCCTCATTGTTTGCATAACCACTTAAATTTTAATCCGTATAAGTCAATGATCCATGTGTTTTAGTCTAAAAAGTTGTTCTATGCATATTTACTATCCTTTTCTCAAAAGTATTTAAAATTCTACACTATCGACTATATTAATGATACCATTAATAGAATTACCATATGCCCCATGGGGATTATTTATAATACATCAATAAAATGATAATGAAGACTCTAACGTGGATATATATAAACCATATATGTATGGATTTTGAGCTCACACTTAATCATAAATCTAATATAAGAACAATTAGCTCTTATGATGAGCTCAACTAGACCTTTGCCCTCTTGAAGATCCACTGAAGACATGGGTACTATAGCAAAGTGTGATGAAGAAATCAGATGGGGCATAGCTATCAGAAAGAATAGTGTCAGTGGTCTTAAAAGCTTGTCTTAAAACAAGTACTTATCTAAGTAAGGTGTCAGCTAAGTCCACATGGAAGAAGTTTGTGTGATCCAAAAACTATAAATAATAAAATTCAAGACTGGAAAAGCTTAAATTCTGAGCACCTGGTCTGCAGAAGGCTATAGGTGACAGTGAGTTCCCACATGTATTAAGCCTCTGGTGAATTCCCCTTGACCATTGACCAGGTATGTGAATGGCCTTGCTATCAGACAGAGTGTATAAGAAAGTGAACCAATGTAGATGAAATTAAGCAAAAATATAGTATCTTATCTTTGCTCTCCCTTTTGATCCGTTTATAATTTGTTTTAATTGTTGATACAAGTGGGGGGGGGGACACAAGTATATGGTTATAAGCTACTTAAAAGAAGGCACTGCAATGGCACTGTCAGGTTAAGTACTGGGCTGCTAACCACTGCTAAGGTCAGTGTTTCACCCTAAGGACGTGCAACACAACAGCAAGGAGAACAGAGGAAGGAAGTCCCAAGGGAGTATCAAAAATAGACTTTGGGGCCAAGGCGTGGCACCCCAGCAGACTAGACCGGAAAACACTCCGAAAGGTCAACCAACAGACCATGAACTATTTACAGGCTTTTCTTTGTGTGCTCATCCCCTGATATGATCGCTGAAGACAAATGGGTGCATGAGCAAATGTGGCGAAGAAAGTTGATGGTCCCCGGCTATCAAAAGATATAGCGTCTGGGGTCTTAAAGGCTTGAAGGTAAACAAGCAGTCATCTAGCTCAGAAGCAACAAATACCATATGGAAGAAGCACACCAGCCTGTGCGATCACGAGGTATTGAAGGGATGAGGTACCAGGCATCATCAGAACAAAAAATCATATCATTGTGAATGAGGGGTGGAGTGCAGAGTGGAGACCCAAAGCCCATTTGTAAGCCACTGAACATCCCCTTACTGAAGGGTCTTGGGCAGGAGATGAGCCAGTTAGGGTGTGATGTAGCAACGATGAAAAATACAACTTTTCTCTAGTTCCTAAATGCTTTCTCCCCTTCCACTATCATGATCCCAATTCTACCTTACAAATATGGCTAGACCACAGGATGTACACTGGTACAGATAGGAACTGGAAACACAGGGAATCCAGGGCGGATGATCCCTTCAGGACCAGTGGTGATACCGGGAAGGTGGAGCGAAGGTGGGGTGGAAGAGGAGAATCGACTATAAGGATCTACATACAACCTCCTCCCTGGGGGACGGACAACAGAAAAGTGGGTGAAGGGATATGTTGGACAGGGCAAGATATGACAAAATAATAATTTATAAATTATCAAGGGTTCATGTGGGAGGGGGAGCAAGGAGAGAGGGGGAAAAATGAGAAGCTGATGCCAGGGGCTTAGGTGGAGAGCAAATGTTTTGAGAATGATGAGAGCAATGAATGAACAAACGGCTTTACACAAGTGATGTATGTATGGATTGTGATGAGTTGCATGAGCCCCTAATAAAACGATATTTTAAAAAGACTATACTAGATTCATAATAAAAGGTTTAAGTTATAACAATAAATGTATTGTTAAGCACAAGGTAAAATTATGCATAGATTGACTGGGACATAAACCTTCTATCTATACATATTACTATACAGTGGGACTGGAACATACCATTATATTTCTATTCCTTATTTATAAGCTTTTCTGCTAAATGCCACATTAAAACTTAAATAATAAATTATGGCTAATGAAATGAAGGCTCAGCAAGCTGTAACTAGCTTCCTTCTTCCGCCGTCTAATCTAAGAGGAACTCAGCAGCATTTGTCTACCTTACTTAGTTGATATCTTACTTAGCTGATAGGCAGAACATTAAAAGTTCACATAGTACTGTAAAGCTCTATAAACTACTGTGAACAGGTTAACAAAAATGAAGTCCTATAAAATATTACACTCCTAGTACCAGTAATCTATTCCACGCTTTATGGATTTGCGTTGATTTCGTTAACCCAGCTAAGAATATACACCTAAGTATTTAGTACAAATAGTAATCATTTCTCTGCATCTTGCTTAAACTTCTGAGCTTAACTACAACCCAATCCCTGACTTTGGTTCATTGTGAGCCAAATAAAAATTGCTCTTACCTTTACACCTTGAACAAGACCATTCATGAGGAATGTGTGTTGAGGAAATGTTTCATGTACAACCTACAAAATGGAAGAAAGCGTTAAGAAAAACGCAAACTAAAGTAAAAGATTTGTGTCGCTATATTAATGGCAGGTTAGATAAATGAGATCAACCTTGTAATACAGTCCTAAAATATGCACACACACAAATGAAAAAAACTCAAAGGCAAAAACATAAAATAAGGCAAGAACTCAAAGAGGTAAGCTAAATTCTCAAATTTATGACACAAAAACATCTGTAGTAAATTGTTACTTTAAACAAGCACTAAAGGTGAGGTGAATTATTTCATATGGCTCTTCTAGCTATAGTCTTTGTAACTCCCTCAAATGACTACATTAAACCATACAAAGTGGGTGCTTTCTTCTTTTCCTGATGCATCTGGGTAAGAAAAGGTGGGAGAAGATGGTGATGGATTGTATGATGTAGTTGTGAGTGATTGCTAATAGGATAAATGTGACTACAAAAAATAGTTGGAATTCTAAGTGGGGTCTGGCCAATTTTGCCAATAATTTATACCAATAAGCTATCTTAGAAGCAGAGAGGAGGATCTCTCTAGCAAGAAGAAGTGGAGGAATTCATTTGTACCCTGAGATGCCTGCACATCAAACCTCCTCAGGGCGGGAACAGAAAGTTGTGTCACCAGATATGAGTTGGTGTTGGCATTTCACCCTGTTTTCTCCTTTTGAAGTCAGTGTGGCAAAGGTGCAGCCAACAGCCAAAGCACGAGGCAAAGCACTGGGTTTCCTGACCAAGGTACAAGCGAAGCTGAATGTCTTCAGACAAAAGACGGGGTGGTAGAGTACTGTGCCTACAGGTACTTAATTGGGGGAGCTAAGTTTGCTGATCCATGGAGTTTTATAGCACCTTTGGGCTGAGACTTACAGTGGAATGTAATGGAGTTTCCTTTAGCATCCACCTGCAATACTAAAAGAGTTTTGTAAGAGTTTTGTAACAGTTGGACAAGCAGCACAGAGGCTAAAAGGCCTTATGACTTAGGGTCTGAGGATCAGAGAGGCATGGCTGTGGGTGTGCCTGAGAAGAGTTACCTTTGGCCAGAACTATCTCCTGAGCATTTCTGATACTAAATTATAACATTTGGTGTAGTGGTTACGCATTGGGCTGCAATCTGCAAGGTGGCAGTTTGAAACCACCAGCAGCTCCTCAGGAGAAAGACTGGGTTTTCTACTCCTGTAAACAATTAGCCTTGGAAACCCACAGGGGACTGCTATGAATCAGCATTGATTTGCTGGCAGTGAGTAATTTTAATGACCCCATATTCATGAGTAGGGTCTGTCAGTTCCGTGTGGCCATTGCAATGAGTTCGTGAACTCAGCAGAGACATTGAGGGTGGCATAGGATGGATGGCTGGTATCAGAATTGATTGGAGGGTGGAGGTAGGTCTGTCCCCTGCCTCTTAAGAACAGGCCTTGAGCTGGTACTGCATTTCATCCTGTTTCCTCCTTCTGAAGTAAGAGGAAATCACACACCACCTCTACATCATGCAATCTCAAGCTTTGTTTCTAGCACCAAGACGATTTTCCAAGGTCTATTTCTTCTTCTTTGTTTCCAACTTTTGCATTCCAATCGCCAATAATTAATCAGTGCATTTTGATTGCTTGTTTGCTCAATTTCAGACTGAAGACATTGGCAGAATTCTTTAATTATTTCAACCTTAGCTTTAGTGCACGTGATAATTAGATGATATTATGTTAACTTCAGTTTTTATGAAAGTGTTGGAGTGGAGTCCAACCTGTCAATCAGGTCACAGCCTGAGGATGGCTCCATGGGGTGTGGCCTTCTTCCATGAGAAACTAGAAACCTCCCTCTCTCTGCCACTTCACCTTGCTGCTTGTTGGGACTCTGCCTCCAGGGATTGCACCATGCGGACGGCCCGAACCTGAGGGCTGTAGGCACCCTAACATGTTTCCACATACTTGGGATCCACCCGGCTCTGCACCCACTGACCTGGGATGTTCCTGCTTCACTTTTCCGTGTCACGGGCCTGCAGCCACATAAATCTGAAGATGGACTTATGTGCTAGCACGTGACTTACAGACTTTAGCTGTACTGGGCTGGGATGACTTTTTGATAGATAATTATTTCTTGATATACAGCTCTTTCTTATACATAGATGAGAGACACTGGATTTGTTTCTCTAGACTGCATCCACATACCATACAAGTCAATAGTTCAACCATATCAAGAAGAGTTGTACAATCTTTACCCCCATCAATTGTAGAACATTTTCCTGGAGCCTGTACTCATTGTTATTCATGTAACTTTTTTTCCATTTTAGCAAAAATATACATAACACAACATTCACCAATTCAACAACTTCTACATGTATAAATCAGTGCCACTGATTATACATTATGGGCTATACAACCATTACTGTTATCCCTCTCCAAATTGTTTTACCACCAATAAAATGAACTCAATGCCCCCTATGCAGACTCGTCCTCCTTCACCCATGGTGACCACTGGTCAAGTTTGGTTTCTTTTTTCTCCAGTAGTGCTCTTGACATAATATTCACATACCATACGCTTCCATAGTTAAACCACTTCTAAAAAGAGTTGTATATACATCATCAAAACCAGCTCTAATGCGCCCTACCCCCTCTCGCATCCACTGATCACGCTCCAAGCCCTCCAAACCCCCCCTCCCCCACCATCCCCGCCATCCTGGCTGATTCCTTCTTTGTTGTCTGTTCTCAGTCTGAAAGTTCTGCTGAAACATGTTCACCTTGGGTGACTCAGCTGGCATTTGAAATGCTAGCGACATAACTTTCTAGCATTACACAAGCCATCACAGTCAACAAATTGACAGACAAGTTGTGGGTGGCACTGTAGGATAAGCATAAGGCTAATTGCAAGGTTGGTAGTTCAACCCACCAGCCATTCTGTGGGAGAAATATGACTGATACAAGTCAGAATGGACTGGGTGGCACTGGGTTTGATTTGGGCTAATGAGACTAATCAGATAAATGTACTTCTGAGGAAACGCCTGCAGCCACTCAGAATCCCGGAAATGTTTAGACGTGTTTTCTCAGCAATAAACTTGTGCATATTTGAAAACGGTAACCCTAGCAGCAATACTTTTTTACTTAACCATATATGTTTGCCGAATGAGTGAAGGCGTAGGCATGTATTTTGAGAGCCGGTTAAGAAGAAATAAGCAAATTGAATGTGGCAGGGAATTGGTTAAGAGCATTCTTAGAATTGCACAAATTAATAAAACAGAAAATGTCAAGTATTGGTGAGGTTATAGCCAGAACCCTCATCACTGCTGGTGGGGGAATGTAAATTAAATAATGTTTCTAGAAAGTGAGTTAACTACGTATTTTGGTGTGCTATAAAGATCAAAAGACTAAGGGATCAGTTAGCAGGCATTAAAGAACAAAAAAATCATATCATGTGTGCTCACTTCCCCAATACGATCACAGAAGACAAATGGGTGCATAGGAAAATGTGGTGAGGAAGGCTGATGGTGCCCAGCTATCAAAAGATGTAGCGTCTGGGGTCTTAAAAGCTTGAAGATAAACAAGTGTCCATCTAGCTCACAAGCAACAAAGGTGACATGGAAGAAGCACACCAGCCTGTGTGATCACGATGTGTGGAAGGGATGAGGTATCAGGCATCAAAGAACCAAAAATCATATCATTGTGAATGAGGGGGAGTGGGGACCCAAAGCCCATCTATAGGCAACTGGATATCCATTTACAGAAGAGTCGCGGGGAGGAGACAAGCCAGTCAGGGTTCAGTGTAGCAACGATGAAACATACAACTTTACTCTAGTTCCTAAATGCTTCCTCCCCACCCACTCATGATCCCAATTCTACCTTACAAATCTGGCTTGACCAGAGGAAGTACACTGGTACGGATAGGAACTGGAAACACAAGGATTCCAGGACGGATGATCCCTTCAGGACCAGTGGTGAGAGTGGCAATACCGGGAGGGTGGGGTAGAGAGAGAGAACCGATTATAAGGATCTACATATAACCTCCTCCCTAGGGGACAGACAACAGAGAAGTGGGTGAAAGGAGACGTCGGGCAGTGTAAGATATGACAAAATAATAATTTATAAATTATCAAGGGTTCATGAGGGAGGGGGGAGCGGGGAAAGGGGGAAAATGAGCTGATGCCAGGAGCTTATATGGACAGCAAATGTTTTGAGAATGATGAGGGTAACGAATAAACAAATGTGCTTTATACAATTGATGTATGTATGGATGTGTAAGAGTTGTATGAGCCCCTAATAAAATGATTAAAAAAAAAAAAGATTAAAAGCCCTGGTGGCATACTGGGTTCCACCACGGACTGCCAGCCAGAAGGATAGTAGTACTAAATGATCCGCAGCTTCATAAGAGAACGATGGGGCTTTCTACTCCTGTAAAGACTATCTCAGAAGCCCACCACCCAAATCTGTTCTGTTCTATGCATTGAAATCGACTCAATGACTGTGACTTTGGTTTGAGTTTTCATGTAAATATTCAATCTATGGTTACCATTTTAAGTTTTTCTTCTCTAAAAAAAATGTCTAGGCCTTATTATTGGTTCCTGTTTGCTTTATATAAATACTTCACTTGGACTGGGTCCAAAAGAAATTAGATTGAATCCAATATGAAAATCTGAACTGTGTCCAAAACAAGTTTCAGGTAGATTTTTAAATTAGCTGAACCAAGTCTAAAGGATCTGAGATCTCTCTGAAATTTGGACAAATTTTTAAAACTGGGGACCTAAAACTTGTTTTTGTTTCTGTAGAAAAGGATCAACCATACCTAAATCAGTGTGATACTACCTCAGACAACTGGGAATACAAATCCTATATGACTCAGTAATCCCTCTGCTAGCTATATACTATAAAAAAGTAAGAGCCATCACACAGACATATGCACATCCATGTTCCTCACAGCAATGTTTATAATAACATGAAGATGCAAACAACCCAAATGCTCATTAGTTAGTACAAGAATGAATAAATAAACTCATAAATACATACATTAGAATATTACGTATTGCTAAAAAAAGCAAGGAAACCATGAGCTACTTCATAGGTAGACGGATCTGGAGAACATTATATGGAGTGAAATTAGTCTGTCACAAAAGGGCAAATACTGTATGAGACAATGGTTCTAAAAAGAAATCAAAGGTTTTCATGCCAAAAGAAATCCCCTGTGAGAGTTCTGGAGGTTGGGGACAGGGAAGCAAAAGAGGTAAAATGAAGCAATAGGTTGGAAAGTAGATAGACATTAACTTGGGTGAAGAGGAAGAAAAGAAATTAAAAGTACGGAGTAGAGCAAACTACTAATGGGGTTAAGAAACCAAATAATTGAATACAATAGAAAATTGACATCTAAAATGTAAAGCCTAAATCACAACAGGAGTATTGTTACATTCTTCTCAAAAATGGTACGTTAACGCCTGCTACTATCTTTCTAGGAGCTGTCTTTCTATTTCCAATTACGGTAGGTTAGGGTTTTCTGTATGTAACTGCAGGCTCTATCATGGTTGTCGTTGTTGTTGTTGTTAAGCGTTGTTAATAAGTCAGTTCCAACTCACAGTGACAAAAGAGCAAAATACTTCCAGGTCTTGTACCATCCTTACAATTATACCTATGTTTCAGCCCATTGTTGCAGCCACTGTTGTCAATCCATCTCTCTCGGTTGGTGGACTGGGCCATCCTCTCTGTTGCTGCCCCTCTATTTTACCAAGCATGATGTCCTTCTCTGGGGATAGGCTTCTCCTGATACAAATGTCCATAGTTCATGAAGCAAAACCTGGCCATCTGTGCTAATACATTCTTTCTTCATTTCATTTGGAATTCTTATCATAGAATAATCAAGATGACTTCAGTAATTCTGAAAACTGCTGAGCTACTAGAACAGATTCCATACAGTTACATCAGAAAGTTACTAGACCACTTGTTACTGGAAAGCTGTATCAAAGATGAGATAGCTCATATGACTTTCTTTGGAGGGACTTGTTTCTCTTTAGCATTTGTTTGCCTAGTTAAACTCAGAGTTATGATTTTGTAGATGACCAGGCTTTTTTTTTATTGTTAAGATAGAAACAATGTTCTTTGTAGCTTTCTACATTCTAAACAAGACAGAAATCTACTGACACAGACAATCCTGTGAAAGCTCAAACGTGTACGAGGAGAAAAACAGTCAAAAAAGGAAAACTCAAATTTAGTGAAATATGGGAGAACTCGAACCAGATATGATGCCGTTTCCCCCACGTCTCTCAAGTTTTCCACCTATGGCTGGGCACAGTCCTAGCACTTCCTATCATGGGCTGTTAGTGGGAAGATATCTGGAAATGAAAAGAGAAAATTGCTTGCAGGTTCAGTTTTTGAAAGAGCAGCTTACAGTCCTGTATATTACATTTATAGATGGGGCATCGAGAAACGAAAGAAGATGATATCACTGTGCTTTAGAAATTTAAAATTAATTATCATTCAGTAAAATATAATTAGGATAAAGAAAGTTTGGAGGACAGGAGAAATTTACAGAGTTTTTAATAATATTCTTTGCTGATACAATCATTCAAGCCATCAATTCTTCTTCGGCTTTCCTTATTCACTGTTCAGCTATCCAGGCATATGAGGGAACTGAAAATATCAGTGCTTAGGTCAGGTGCATCTTAGTCTTCAAAGTGACATATTTGCTTTAGAACACTTTAAAGAGCTCTTTTATAGCATGTTTGACTAATGCAATAAGTTGCTTGATTTCTTGACTGCTGCTTCCAGGGGCATGGGTTGTGGATTCTAGCAAAATTACGTGTATCTTTGATAACTTCAATCTTGCCCTGCCCTCAGCACTGCTTGGGCAAACTCTTTAGCCAGTAAGTACCCAGATGCACCTCACTCCGCCAGGAAGCTTCCTGCCTGCGGGCATTCAGTTCTTACTCTGGGTCAGCACATCCACTCTAACCACCTTGCTCTGTGGGCCAACAAGGGCAATCTCATGCCAGTGTCCTGGTTCGACTGCCACCATGTCTCTGCTGCTGCTTCTCCCCATCTTGCATTCTCTGGTGTTACAGCCCTCTTTCTCTGTCTTCCGAGTCTAGGAGATTCTCAGCACAGGGAGCCTGGGCGGAAAGGATGGGCTCTATTTGTAGCTCTTCTTCATAGTAGTACTGAAGTCCTCTCCTTGCTGCCTCTGAGACCACTCATATTAAGCCTAATGGGATGACAAAACTGACCAATGCCCCCACTAGGGTTCCATACACCTTACTTGCATGTTTTCAAAAGAATGTCATTCACCTATTTGCATTTAGTAGGCTGTCCAATCCCCTTGTTGGGCACAAGTCCCTTATTTGCATACTCCACCTAACCTTTCGGTGGGAAGTACAAGATCATGGCTAGAAAGGGCATGTCGAAGTGATACCAGCACAGTATATGCCTAGATCTACACACGATTTGAATAAATATACAAATCAAAGAACATGGTTTGCTTTCTTGTCCAGACGTACAAAACTGAAAAGAAATACTTCCTGGATGTTTATGAGGTTGGAATCTTAATAAAGAGAAACAAAAAAGTACCCTACCAATGGCAGACAACTTTTGAGACATGGAACAACAAGGCAGTTCCACCAAGTTATGGCTTTCACAGGATTTATTTTAAATTTATAGCTCAAAGGAGCTGAAAAAGAAAATCAGAGAGCACAGCATAAAGTTAAAAAAAAAAAGTGACTACTTACCTTTCTACTAAAAGTACAGCTTAAAGAAACACAGTCACCAAACCAAGGTGAGTGAGTTGATTGCAACCCTAGGTAGAGTTTCCAAGGCTGAAAATCCTGATGGGAGCAGAAAGTCTCATCTTTTGTCCACGAGGCAGATGGTGGATTTGAACTATAGGCTTTATGGTTAGCAGCCCAATGCCTAACCCGGAGCACTAACTTATTTGTGCCTGGAACATAGATATTTGTTCAGAGAAAATATTGACTATAAGGCTAGCAGTCATAGCCAGTGCACCTCAAGCACAACCACCACTTGTTGATCAATGGAAGCCTGTACATGGATATGATACCGAAGAGGTATCAGCAGCACTTCCACCCCAAGACAGACTAGGAAGGAAGATCTTGAGGCTCTACTTCTGAAAAATCAACCAATGAAAACCCTATTGATCACGCAGTCTTCTCCCATTATACATGAGGTCACAACGAGTCATGCACCAACATACGTTTTAAACCTAATTTGTGAATAAGTCTTACTTGTACCAAATAAGATTCGTTGGTAAGACAAAAAAAATAAACAATTTTTTAATGCAAAAATGAAACAATCGAATTAAAGAATTTTCTTACAATTTCTTTTTAAATTTTTAAGTTCTTAGAATGATCACTTTCATTATAACAAAGCACTAGCCAATCTCCTGAAGAAGTCATGGTGCTGTAATGTTCAAATGCTTTCCTGTTCACTAGTGGTTTGAATCCACCAGCCACTACCCAGAAGAAAGGTCTGCTTCTGTAAAGATCATGGCCGCGGAAACCTGATGGGGAAGTTCCACTCCAGCCTATCCCGTTGCTAGCAATTGGAATCAACTCAGGACCAGGGGCTTCAGAGAAAATACAGAATTGTCCTTTGGCAACTGAGTTTTCCCTTCGGCATACCGTCTCTAAGCTCCAACTACACTATAAGTTCCCAAACTTATTTGGCCTTCCACTCACTTTTCAAAACAAACAAACATTACCCAGCAACCCCCTGACAATTAAAAGCTTTTGTAACCTACACACACACACACACACACAAATGTAAGTATGGTAACTGCTTTTGAAGCCCACCTGGATCATTCCACAAGACTACCCCACAGGTGGCAGTATCACTCAGGCTGGGAAACACTGATGTACTGTACACAGCAGCATGAATTTATTGCTGTGGAAACCCTACCCGGAATCAATGTGATTTGATCCTATGGGGAAAAATGTAAACAAGCATTTCAAATCGTCTTGGATTCTAAGGTTTTCCAGAGTCATGGAGGCTAGATAAATCCAAGAAACCATGGCCCTAACATAATCTTTAAATTTTAAACTAAAAATAACACATGAAGTCTTCTTAAATCGAAACAGTAGCTTAGCTCAAATAGTAAAAAATGTCTGTCTTGAACAGTGTGCTTTTAATCCAGATCTACCTATGTGGAATCAGACTGACAACAGCAACTGGCAGATTAGATAACAACCTTAGGAGACTGTAAGTTGATGCTTCCGGGTAACAAACAACTCCAACCAGGAGGTTGACAATGGTCACACACTAACTCAAAGAATGTAACCAATGTCACTGCACGTGGAAGTGTTGAAAGGGGGAAGGTTTCAAAAACATTGAAATATATAAAATTTTTAAAAAGATTTTTCTTGTGTACGCACAAATGATCTAGTTCAGTGATACTTACAGTTAACATTGGAGTTGTCAACAGGCCCCATGCAAAGAATTCAAGGAAGATGACGATGGCAGCATGGTATACACTTGGTTGGCCAAGGCCTTGTAGCTAAAAAAAGAGAGTTATTATTAAAAATAGTAAACAGACATAAGAAAATCAGTGTCTTAAAAAAGGTCTCATAAAAAACCATATCTACTCGAGTATAAGCCGAGTTTTTTCAACACATTTTAAATCAGTTTTTGTGGTAAAATTAGGTGCCTCAGTGGATATTCAGGTTGGCTTATACTCGGACTATATACAATAAATCAAATTTGGATTTGTTTATATTATTCCTTTGTGCTACCCTTGATTCTTTTGCTCCTCGAATAATAGTGGTTGCAAAGATGATATATTTTCACTTGTCTAGTCAATGCAGAACACTGGAGCTTTGGTGAAAAAAATCAACCAGCTCTTCAAAAGACCGAAGTTCAAGGACCTACCGGTAATTCTGCCCCCTTTTTAATGTACTCTTCAACAACATGACAACTCCAGGTCTTAAACTTCTTTAAACAAGTAATTAAAAGATTGGCTTAGTGGCATACAGGTCATATCTCAAAAGAATCAGAGGTAGCAGAGATGATTTACATGAGTTCAGGAGGGAGTGGGCAGTAGCAGGGAATATAAAAACCAAGTCAAGCTTAAAACTGCATTCCATAACTTAAAAAAAAGCCTCACTTCTATCAAGTCGATTAAGAATCATAGCAATCCTATGGGACCAAATAGAATAGCCATGGTGGGTTTCCCAGGCAATAAACCTTTATGGGGGCAGACAGCCTCACCTTTGTCCTACAGAGTGCCTGGTGGCTTCAACCTCCTCATCTATCATTTAGAAACCCAATTCATACCTCACTATGCCATCAGGGTACCTTATCCAATAACTAACAGTGACAAAACAAAGTGGTTTTTGGTTTTTTTTAAGACTGTCCATCCTGCTAGCTTTCTGCAGACATCACTTGGTGAATCCTGAAGTAAAAATCTAAAATTCCTTTCAATGTAATATTCTTTGACTCTTGACAATGCTACACAAAACAAATACAGATTCAGTACATTCCCTACCTATCAAAACACCAAGGGAGCTGTCCACAGAAATCCAGGCTCCCGCAAAACCCACTGAAAGCTGATAAAGCATGGGAAGCACTTACTGGTCTATGCCAGGAAATCTGGAAGACAGCGACGTGGCCAACTGACTGAAAAAGATTCCTATTTGTATGTACTTCAAAGCAAGGTGGTCCAACAGAATGCTCAAATTATAGAGCAGTATCATTAATAGCACATGCAAGTAAAACTCTGATGAAGATCATCCAACAACACATTTGTAGCAGTACATAGACAGGAAGCTGCCAGAGGTTCTGGCCAGATTCAGAAGAGGATATGGAACAAAGGCTATCACTGCTGACATCACATGGATCTGGGTTGAAAGATGAAAATATCAAAAAGATGTTTACTTGTATTTTATTGACTATGCCAAGGCATTTGACTGTGGATCATAACAAACTATGGATAGCTTTGAGAAGATGGGAATTCCATATGCCTGTTCAATTTTTCCTCTTCCACTCATGCTGTGCTCTGCCTTTGCGGACTCCAACTTGTCTCTGTAAACACTGCCCAGCTTCCCATATAAAAAAACGAAAACCCACTACCATCTATCAATTCTAATCCATATAGAACAGAGAACTGCCCCTTTGGGTTTCCAAACCTTTACATCTTTTAAGGGATGCAGAGTGCAGAGTGACTGGTGAGTTCAAACTAGTGATCATATGATTGGCAGCTCAATGTGTAACCAACTAGCCACCATGAGTGTCTATACAGCTTCCTTTGACGTCTCTTAATACTGAATTCTTTTTCAAATATTTCTTACCTTTTTTGTCTTATCATGCAATTTGTGGGTTTGAATTGTTCCCATACTCAAAATTACAGTGGTAAATTAATATAACTTAATATCGGAAAATATAGTGGAATACCCTAAGAAACTAGATCTGATGTGGACTAGCCTATGCAATTTCCTGAATTAGCACTCCACATAACCCCAGAAACAGACCTAAAAAGCATGATAACAAGAAAAAAAATTTGTTGTTGTTAGAACATGCTACACAAATGTATTTGACTGTGTGAATCATAACAAACTATGGATCGCCTTGAGAAGAATGGGAATTCCAAAGCACTTCTTGTGCTCATGTGTAATCTGCATATGGACCAGCATGCACTTGTTCAGACATGTCAATGGGATGCTGCATGCTTTAAAATCAGGAAAGTTGTGTCAGGGCTGTATCCTTTCTCCATACTTATTCAATCTGTATGCTGAGCAAATAGAGAAGCTGGGTGTATGGCCGGATCAATACCAGGCCAGCTTCTAGCAGCAAGTGATCTTGAATCTCCCCCACCCATGAGGAGCTGACCAGAACTAGCTGAAACAACTAGCAGCGAGTGACCTTAAATCTCCCACACACACCTGGGAGCTGACCAGAGCTGGCTAATGGCCCGTTTTATTCTCGACCCACCGCTCTGCATCCAGCAAGGCCCGTTTGGCTCAGTGCTCACTTTGTTCTCAGCCTGTCACTCTGCAACCAGCACAAATACACCCGAAACCACGAAGACACCTTACATTCCAGAAACCCAGACAAACCTGTATCGCCCAATCCCTGACTACTTTACCTTATATAGACTCAAGACAGCCCAGTCACATGTTCCCTGGCCATATAAGCACCACCCCTATAGCCTGGAGCGCAACTCCCTCGGACGGACACTATGGATCGTGGGAATTCACCCAGGCTGGGTTTTTCTCCCCAATAAAGCCTGTTTGTTCTAATTCAACTGATTTGGTTTCTGGCACCTCTC